TACCTTTTATTTCTGTTTTTTAAAATCCCAAAAATGCTTGTGTTCAAAATTAGAAATGCATATGGTGAATAAACTAAATGATTAAACATTCCTACACTTGCTAGACAGAACCAGACAAAGCAGTCAGTAAGCAAACCATTCATATTTAATCCATTGTCCAGATGATGCCATCTATTTGGGACATTTTAGAGGACGGGATGTTTATTTTTAAATATCTGTAAAAATTTGGGATTATGTTAACCACTAAAATTTGGCTGGCTGGATAATTATACATGTTTCTGTTTAATTTAGCTTTATATGAACTACAATAATAATTATAGCTACTTAAGAGCTTTTGAAGGTCAAATATGTAGCCTGAATTTTTTGGCGTACGCACTTACTAAAAATGATCCCTAACAAATACAAATACTCCTCTTTTACCTCCACTACTGTGGTGTCGATGCTGGTGCCTAAATTAGAACCAGTTTCCTGCATTTCCACAGAAAACGGGCTTAGAGTCGTTGCCAAAAGCAGGCACAGGCAAGGCACCACAAAGCTTTGTGCTCACAGTGAATGACATTTGATAGAAAATACAGTACATATCAATTTTGGAAGATTTCTTTAGTTTTCTACATGTAAAAAAAAGTGTCTTGTAGCTTAGGTTTTAAAGCTAGGAACATGGAGAAGCCCAAGTATTACTCATTTAGTCACTCTTTGCTTTTTTCCTTTTATGTATAGCGTTGATCAAAGTGGCCTGTAATCTTTGATGTGACACGTAAGCTTAACGTTGCCGTCATCCAAACCGTTCACATTATCTAACACCGCATCTGTTTCACAACATTTCCTTTATTTGCAGATTGTGTAATAATTCAATTGTCGAGTGACATCTATCTGGCTCTCTGCTCCATTTCTCCCACATTTGCAGGCTGCTCGCTGCCTACAGATGGTGGAAGTCACAGCTCTTTGAATGAGATGGTGACAAGCGCCATAGTCGGACAAGTTTATATGGAAAACAAAATACAAATCGCCCAAAACAAAGCTCGAAGGCGAAATCCAACCTCGCGCAGGTGCTGACTTTTCATTTTCCTTCATTTACCACTTAGGATAAAAGATGCGTATGTCTGCCTCAGGCTTCCTTACACCACTCATATCATCAGATCACAGCAGGGCGCACACAGACACCAGGGAGTTTCCCCTCACACTGCTGGTATACGTTACAATCAAAGTACCACCATCTGTCTTACACGATGTGCACGAGGACAAAGACTTCAAACAGATGAAAGGATGTCCCTTCCCTAAAGCCAACAGGGTGGATGAATCCCTACATCTCACTAAAACCACTTTGAAATCTGCCAATCTTTGTTTTGGAGGCTTTTAAACACCAACGAAAATTAATTAAAGAAAAATTATTCTGATCTGCAAGCATAGTGTCACTGCAAAACTATTAGCACTGTCATCAGCTTTCAAGCACGCATTTTATCTAAAGCCTACTGAGTACAGTCACAAGTATGTGTTTGTGAGCCTATAAGAAAACACACACACACACACACACACACACACACACACACACACACACACACACACAGAGAGAGCATCAGTGCTATTGCCCAGCGCAGTGGGCGCTTTTCACTGAAAGACCCTTTGTTTTGTTTGTCTAAAAACTGAAAAAAGGAGCTTCAGCATGACTGACCCAGAGGGCTGAGCTGAAATAACCCTGTATGTGTGTGCCTGCAAGTGCACAAAAGCTCGCAATGTTAATGAATGGGAAATGACCAATGAGCATGAGTGAAAGCATGCCTTTGGGTGATGAAGAGATGTAGGAGGAAAACAGGAACAAGTGAGAACGGTTTCGGTGGGGATAAAAAGTGAAGTGAGATTGAAGTTAGCTTTTCTAGTTGACACCAGAATCACCCACATGGTCATTTGCAATGCTAATGTTAATGCACCATCACAGCACTTCAGAGTGCTGAGTAACAGGAAGAATGTAGTATGATCGGAAAAAGAAGAAAGAACTTCTTGCAGCAGCAAATCGAAGTGATCTGTAATCTGTTGTGCCATGTGTTAAGTGAGTTGTACTGTACATTGTGACTGAAAATGCTCCAATTTAGATAAAATGTGATGTAACGAGAGTCTATAACCATGTTTCTGCTTCCATCTCTAAAATAATATACAGAGGAACAGAAGCATGTCCACAGGCTCTCAGTCGCAAAATGTATATGCTAAGAGGATGCTGTGTACAATTTCAGTTCAGCACAATTTCAGTTCAGCCCCAACCTTCACAAATGAGGTTGGGGCAGATGGCTGCTCCTCTTTGAGTCAAGTTCTGTCAAAGGTTTCTTCCTGTTTAAAAGGAGTTTTTTCTTCCCACTGTCACCGAGTGCTTGCTCCTAAGGGGTTTTCTCAATAGAACAAAACAAAACAAAACAAAAAAATGTGTGAAGCTAACAGTAAAGTGCTAACAGTGAATATGTATCTATAGCAGGGGTAGGCAACTCCAGGCCTTGGGTTCTGGTGTCTTGCAGGTTTTAGATATCTCCCTGTGTCAACACACCTGAATCAAATGATTAGTTCTTTACCAGGGCTCTGGAGAACTTCAAGACATGTTGAGGAGGTCATTTAGCAATTTAAATCAGCTGCGTTGTATCAAGGACACATCTAAAATCCCAGGACACCGGCAGTCGAGGCCTCAAGTTGCCTACCCCGATCTATAGTATTATGTGACGTGTGTGATTAAAACCCATTACCTGCATCATACACTGACAAACCCTCTCCTTTTTTGAAACCAGTTTCCTTCACTTTCACAGCTGTCCCGTCACGTTATCGTCTCCCCAATAAAACCTTAGTTGTGTTTTGAGATTTGCTTTTTTTCCCCTACTTCCATTTTGTTGTATTCAACTTTTTGGGTGCTTTTGCAACACTTTTTCTATGTGCAGATGTTTTCTTAAGTTGCAGTGTATTTGACCTCTCAGGTCCACCTTAGCACCGTTTCTCAATTGATAATTAGAAAAGTTTGCACATATAAACGGAAGTTTGATGTTGCAATAAAGTCTTCACATGTTTTGGCACAGACAGATCAACATTTTCCTTAAACTTAAATTAGCTTTCAAAGATTTCCTGCAGCAACCTGGGAGACGCAGCTCTGGGGCAACAATGAGGAACAGCTCAAAGTTTGGCGTTAGAAGCTAAATTAATGTTAAAATTCTAAGTGTTGCTCTTTTCAAATCCACCAAATGTTGTTAATAAAAAAATAGGAGACCTTGAAGAAATTGTAGGTTTTCACTTTTGCACAGTTGTGTGGCTTTGGTTAGTCAACTAACCAATTAAAATACCAAAGCCACACAATAACACCACCTAACTAATAACAGAGGAAGCAGTAGCAGAAAACTGCTGTGTTTTATGAGATAAAGTGACTTTTTTGTCACTGGGGTCTGGAGGTATCTAACAGCTTTACTTCTTTGTTGGAAAGAGCTGTCTGACGCTACGTAAAGTGATAAAGATGTTCTAAATATAGTGTACACTTAAACCAGCATTGATTCTTTTAGGTGGCTCTAATCTATTTTGCTCCTGTCTGCTTGGGGTCTTACCTGCAGCCCTGTACTGTAAGTAACTTACCGCTCAGAATCGTACTGCAAAGATATAAAACTGCCCCAAAATGAGCAAAAACAGGATATGCTTATTTTAAACATCAGATGGTTTTTACAAATTTTCCTGACAGTGCAGCTGCTCCTGACTGAGACACCAACTGCTTTTGACCAGCATGTTTAAACAAAAGTGATTTTCATATCTCACATGTCATTTTTGTATTGTGTAAGGCCATTCAATCTAAAAATACTGAGCTATAATTTCTGTTCCCCACTGCCCAGCCCTCAATTTAAACACTGTGTTTATCAAGGTCTTGTGTATAGTGCAGCGTAGGATGAAGCATGGCATTCACATAGCTTTGACATCATCAGTAATCCAAGTGAGACAGGATTAAGCCCGAAGATGAAGCTTCAATTTACTAAGTGATCTTCATTATGACCTTCAGCTACAGCCTAACCTGAACAGAGCAGAGAGTCCAGAGTGTGGAGAACTAATCTTAGCATATAAAGAGTGAAATCTGGAGCAGGGCAGCAGAATTAGATTGATTTCAAGGCTGAAGAGCTGCAGACTAAGGTGGAGCAGTGTGAGGACTGGATGAGAGAGTAAGAGAGGCTGTTGGGAGATGTAGACAAGACGAACTTTGATGGGGTCAAAATTTTTCCCACGGTATCAACAGTGATAAAGTATTTTCCTGGGTATCGGTATCAAGTTTGAAATTCTAACATCGTGACAATCCTACTAACAGGTGTGATTACATATCCCTTCTGGCATCGGCTATCCTCGAGAAAGAGTTACATGTAGGCCACTAAGACTTACATTAACAAATTTAAAATTTTAAGTGTAGAAACAAAAAAAAAAAAAAATACTGTATTGTTTTTTCGCCCAAGAAGAGTAAAACAGTTCATATAAAATGATCAAATGTGATCATATCAGTTAAATGGATGTGAAAGTGTACCTGACAAATATCTCAGTTTGGTTTATGCTTCTAGTGTCTACCTACTGTATCAAAACAGTCCACGCTTAATTGCTTCCATTAAAAACAACTAAGTGATAATCTATGACAGAGAGACATAAACAAAATGTGATCCTGAAAGGAGAGAGAAAGAACAAGGAAGAGAGGAAGAAGAAGAACGCAGATCTTGAGGCATAATGGGGGAGATGGAAAGAATGAAGATAAAGATTGAGAGGAAGAGTGCGTTGGAGTTAATTTTAGGTGAGAAAAAAAAATGCCGCAGGGTCTGTCAGCTGAATACACACACAAACAAACATATGTTAACACAGCACATAGAGCACCATTACCCCATAGCTCTTTTTGCCACATGACACACAAAAAAAAACAACAAAAAAAAAAACAAAACACAAAGCCCACAGGCCACAAAACATACAAGGAACTCAGCTGACAGAGACACACACATCCATGCACAGACGCACACACTCACGATTTGACTGCACGCCCAGACACTCCAGTGTCATCTGTTTGCAACAAGAGGAGGGTGAGCTTCAAAGAAACAAACACGCTGCATGTGTATGTACGTCTGTGCAGGGAGGCCGGTAAGCCTGAGGTCACACCAAAGGCAATACACCTTATCCGTCTTCCAATTACAAAGCGGCGATCGCGTGCAGGATAGATTATCCTCTTATCAGTTGTTCACACCAGCATTGTAATCAGTCCACAAACACACACACACACACACACACACATACTCTCTCTCTCTCGGTAGGCGGCAGAGCCATCAGCAGCACGTAGACTGCTCTGGTGCAATCTAGGTAACTGTATACAATTCAACACAAACACGAACACTGACGTAAGCAGAGTGGAGCATGGCTTGAAAATGAACCACATTTTCTAGAGTATTTTTTTTTTTTGTTTAAAGTTGGACTCCTCAATGTTTTCATATAAAAGGAATGCAATTACCAGATGTACTATGATGATGTACATCATAGTAATGAACATGAATTTAATCACTCAGCTCTTTTTGTTACTGTATTAAACAACTGTTTTTCACAGGGAGGCTGACTCCAAAGAATTTGTCAGTGTGCACTCAGATGTTAAAATGTCCAACAAAAGGGCATTAAAAATGTTTACAGCCTTGCATAAAGAAGGTCACGAAAACTGTATGTCAGTTTTGCGATTTTTTTTTTGTACTGTGTATAGTGCCTTGCACCTAGAAGCTATTTTCTGATGCTGCCTTACAGTATCATACAGGTGTGAGAAATCCTGAGATCAGCGGGAATGTACAAACAGAAGAATTATGAAAAGCCAGAGATCACTACGGGTTTCAGAAGTTTGGGTGGCACTTCTTCAAATAGCAAAGCAAAATAAAGTCAGATGCAAACTCCCCTGTAGCCCCCCTTCCACCACAAATGCAATCTGTATTTTCATTATCTTCATGGACAATCAACCAAAATGTAAGGATTCCCAAAAAAACCATTTGTCTCATGGGTGGATTCTATGACGAGCAACCCACATTTTTTCAACTGTTATTACACGACTTTACATGACAGAATTAGCTGGTGCCTAATACAGCTACTGGTTTCCCACATTGCTCCTGAGTTCACAAAAAACAAACAGGCAGGCACCTGGTGCTGTTTCAGTAAGTGTTGCTGCTCTCTGTGTCCTCTTCCACTCACACACACAATCTGTTTTGTTTGTGTAGTGAGCGTGATTGTCATCTAGTGCAATCTGCAACTAGTAGTTTTATTTCCCATGAATGATGTTTGTGTGGCCTCGTTTAGCTCATTGTTGCATGTACTTGCATAAATAGGTGACTTGTTACTAGGGCTGGGCTATATCATACCGTTCACGGTAATACTGGTGTAATTTTGGGCAACGATAAGAAAATGAAATATCGCGATAGAATATGGGTAAACGCGCATGCGCAGTGCCTTTGTTTACATACTCACATGGCGGTGACGCAGAATGAGAAGGACGAAAGCAGATCGTTGAATGAAACGGATGAACCAGAATTGGTTTGTAAAAATGCTGCAACTTCAGTGGTGTGGAACTGGTTTAGCTTTTGTCCATCAGATACACAACAAAGCACTATTTTTGGTAGAGCATGCTAGCGGACCGTCGTTATTGCCGTGTTTTTTGGAAAATACGGCACACTTAAAATCAATCCAATTCTGAAAATCTACAGTGCCTCTTATAATCCTGTGTGCCTTATTGTATGAATTCTGGTTGTGTTTACTGACCTCGAAACGATTTTATGTACACAGCGCTTGAAAATCTGTCAAATGTTTTAGTACGACTTTAGTACGACCGTATTGTGTGTGTGTATAACCTCTTTTTAAGTTTTGTGGATATTATACATGGTTATGCTGAGGATATGTCGGCCAATTTCCACTGGAAATGCCTTTTGGTTAAACTGTCAGCAAGGAATTTGCATTTCCACTGTTACATTTTTATATAACTTTAATGCACATAAAAAAACAGCTGCTTGTTTAAGTGAAAATACATTATTAGTGCAAAAAAACCCCATCAAAGTTGTGGAGTTGTAAAGTATTTTGTCTAGTGTCAATTATGTCGTCAGTTATATTGTTATCGCAAATTTTCAAATGTATATCGTGATAAATATTTTTGGTCATATCGCCCTGCTCTACTTGTTACTACTGACTTGTAGAAGTGTGCTCCAAAGCCAACCACAGCTTTAAATTTTGTTTAAGTTCTGGTTTCTATGGCCTGCTACACAGTACAACAGGAAGCCATAAACAGACATTTTAAGCTCACTTATGTATTGATGTACTGTTGAGAAAACTGGTTTAGCTCAATGAGCAGGTGACCTGGACGGACTCAAACCCGGACGCAGCTGGTCCGGGTTTGAGTCCGTCCTGCTTTGCCCCATGTCTTTCACTCTCAACTCTTGGAGGTCTTTTTAAGGCAGCAAAAAAAAAAAAAAAAAGTATCAGTTTGTATTTCCAAAAACTAAAAGGACACTAACCACCTGCTGTCAATTCTCTTTTTCAATTTGCTCCTCCAGCTACTACGCTGAGACTTCAAACTACACAATAACAATGTGTTTGAAAACAACACCTTCCTTCTTCTCGGTCCTACTGTTATTCCTCCTGCTATGTGATGCTCATCCGTCTTAACGTTCACCAGATTAACCAGGGTTAACAAGAAGCTTCCGGTCTAACTGGCATGCATGCATGCATGCATGCATGCACGCACACACACACACAGCTGGATGAACGCAACACTCAAGAATGTGTATTTTCCTGTGTGGATGTTTGGTTGGTCCAAACAGATGGCACATTCCAGCAGAGAGAAGACAGGGAATTATGCGATGTTAAGATTACATGCAAGCACTCACACAAAACAAAAACAGAACTAAAGAAATAATACAAAAAAAATAAAAAATACAACAACACACAAACACACAAAAAAACATTCTTCCCAATGATGATTTATTCTGCCACAAAAATAAATATATGTGCTATATATTTGCACATAGTAATGATAATGCAACAACAGTGCTTTATCTGACCAATGAGTCACAGACCAGTGTTGGGCACTGTCAGTCTGTGTCCCACAGAGTTTAAAAACAAGCAAAATATAGCCACATTTTAAAGCTTTTAAATTCATTTCAGTTGCATAAATGCAACAGCAGCTAGAGTGACCCACATCTGATGACAAAATACAAAAACACTGCTTAACTGCTGACAGCTTTGAGGTAGCCTTTCATATAGGGCTGCTCAATTAATCGAATTTTAATCACGATTACGATCTGGGCTTTCAACGATCATTAAAAATGACTGAGCCGATTATTAGCCCCTCCCTCATTTATCCGCGACACCTTAAAGACCGGTCCGTGAAAATATTGTCGGGCATAAACCGGTCCGTGGCGCAAAAAAGGTTGGAGACCGCTGATTAAGAGGACCCGAGGGAAGCTCTGAAAGCTAAGCAGAAGTTATTTGGAGAGGAGAGTGACTGCCGTTGGTTGAAAAGAGAGGTAAAAAAAAACTTCAGTGGTGTTGCACACTATTTTATATTATTTTTTAAAGTCATTATTCAATACATTGTTATTGTTAACCCTTTAGAGCCGGTCAGAGCAGCACGCTCTGTTTTGTGTAACTATTTTTAAATCCCTGTAGAACATGAACCGTGTAAGATAGCGCAATAATTTGTTTTGCATATGAAACTTACATCTTATGCCATCAGCTTGTCCTCGGTCACGGTTTCCTCCCACATAAATTGCATAAAAAGCGCTTGCAGCAACAAAAACATAATATTCCAGAAACACGCTTTGCCGATCAGCTGTTCGTAACACTTCGCACATTGAAACAGACGTCACCGCTAACTATCACATGTCCGCCATTTCCTGCCCGAAACCGGAAGTGATGTCATTTTTGCGGAAAATGTAGTTTTTTTTTTACTTGTAGGCCTTAAAAGCCTATACTGGTCATGTTTGACTTTTCTGAATAGTTTCTGGGATGCTTAGAACTCGAATTGCACTGCTGGAAATAGTTTATTTTGATGCACCTGCTGTTTTCTTTGCAAATTTGCATCATAGGATTGTTTTTGTTTTTCCTGCAGTATATAAAAATTGCTGTATCTCCAAAATAAAACTATGAAGACACTCAAAATAAACTTTTTTGTATTTAAAGTTTTGAGGGATAAACCTCTTAAATTTCTCCAAGTAGAAATATATGTTAAAAAACAAAAACAATTTTCAATTTTTTTGTAGTTTATTGCACTTTTTTGCAATTAATGTAGTTACTATGGACTTAATGCATACATATTATTAAAATATGGGCTATAACAGTTGTATAGCAACTTGAAATGCTCCCACAAATGGCACTACAACATGTAAAAAAATAATATAAGCTCTGGCAGACTTGGTTCTATGGTAGGTCTTAAAGGGTTAAATAAATATCATCAAATAATCGCGGTCTTAATTTCAGTGAAAATAATCGTGATTATCATTTTTGCCATAATCGAGCAGCCCTACTTTCATATGTGTAAAACAGAACTCTAATCCTCCCTACTTCCATCTGCTCCTCCTCTTCGACTCTGTCTTTTGAATGGGTTTCTGTCACGCATCCCCCCCCACACACAGTTTCTAGAACCACCTTCATTACCCCAAGGCCTTTGGAAACAGGTGTTCCCTGCCTGAGGTGCATGTTACTTACAAAATTCACCAGGCAGCCAGAGATGCAAAATTCTCCATAAATTGATTAAAATGCACATTTGCAGGCTAAAGAATTTTTCATGTCAACTTCTGTCGCAGCAGTGCCCCAAGCATGGTTGAAATTTGTGGTTGCTGGAGATCAAAACTAGACAATACATCATTAAATCATCTTTTTTGTGTGTGACTTTCATATGCAATATCTTTAATGCCTACATCCTGACATTTTTAGAAACTTGTCATATGTTACAGCTGGATGGTACCTACATCTCTGCCAAAAGCTAACATATAAGAACTGTAAAAACAACACTGTGGTTTCCCACAGGTTCTGTGGCACTCTGTTATAAGAGTCAGAATCAGAATCAGAATCAGAATACTTTATTCATCCCGAGGGAAATTAGGGGTTACAGCAGGCAGCACGCTAATGGCGCATGCGCACTCACAAAGGAACCTTCTGACCAACTTTACACAAG